TATCCCCTGTGTGCCTTGTCGACTCAGTTTATACAAATAGAAAATAAAAATAATATTAAATTTAATAAAAGAATTGAAAAAATTATATGTAAGATAATTATATGTAAGATGCATAACCCATATATGAATTTTTGACATTTTTTATATAGATTTTCATATTCCATATGAATTACTTTAATATGACATACATGCAGTTATCCACGTACATGGATTTCCATATGGATTTTAATGACATGGTTACTCGCATGGATTTCTCATATGGACTTTAACCTGACGTAGTTATTCATATGGATTTCCATATGGATTTTCAACATAACATGCAGGTTATTTACATGGATTTCCATATGGATTTTTAACATAATATGGTTGTCCACATGGATTTCGAATTTACCATAGCAATCCATATGGATTTTCATGGAAATCCATATGGATTTTTTCAACAGGGTTATTACGGTTTTTAGAAATTAGTGAAAATTAGAAAGTGAATAAATTTATGCACAAGCTGTGGATCAATGAACTTATAAATCTTCTAGTAAATTCGATCACTTTTGTAATTTTCATTAATTTTCGAGAATCGTGATAGATCCTCTGCTAAACACGGCTATTAATTGTTTTCTTATTATAATCCCTAAAGTTAACTTGCTCAATCTGACAGTAATAATCAATTCGTTGAATTAATACTGATTAAAAATTGTTATTGCCACAATAGTTATTGTCAGCAACATAATATATTGTTGTCATTTTCTTTAAATTAATAAATAAGTTTAAAAAAATCGTAATTTTAAAAATGCTTTACTGAAAAGTTTTGTGTGTGTGCTAATTTTAAGATATATCACTTTTCTATTAACGACGATATACAGAGTGTTCAGTATAACAATCCACGATTTTTAAGGATGAAATCACATGGGATGCGGGACTACGGAAATACGGAACTGCGGAACGATTCCTCCCAATATCGACATTTCGCATATTCCGCTCCGCAAAAGTGTACGTTTCGTAGGTTCTATTGAGCGGAATTTGTTAATGCGTAATCCACGCGAGCCAATGACAAACGTTATTCCAATAGATCTGATGAAAGTGATCTATGGGAAGGCTCTTGCGATTGGTCAGCGCTAATTGCGCACAGACCTAGTTTACATCGAGCACTTGATATACGCGTACTAACTAGAAACTTTCTATTAAATTATCTTAATTTCTACAATGCATTTAAAGAATGATGTACTAAGCTGATACACTATGCATTAATATGATTAATTAAATACATATATCATGTATAAGTTTATGTGTATCGTCGAAATTAAGAAAATTTAATAGAAAGTTACTAATTAGTACGCGTATTAAATGCTCGGTGTAAATTAGGCCATAGGTGAATTCCGCTCAATGGGACCTAGGAAACAAACTTCTGCGGATCGGAATCACATATACATAAGACGTGACAATAGCACGGTTGATTATCTATCCCCAAACAGCACAAGGACGTCCTAAGGACGTCCCCAGGGCGTCCAGGACGGGATTTGAGGACGTTATCAGGATGTCCTATTTTCATCCAGGGACGTCCTGAGGACGTCCTGTGATATAGCAAATGAGCGCCTTATCGTGTCCTCAGGAAGTCCTGAAGACGTCCACAGGACGTCCAGGACGGGTACTGAGGACATCCTCAGGAGGTCCTATTTTCATCCAGGGATGTCCTAAGGACATCTTGTGGTATAGCAAAATCTCTGACGTGTTCATAGGATATAAAAAATAAAAAATAACAATTAAATAAACGTTTATAAAATTAAAATAAAAACCATTATAAAACATTAAAAAAAACAATTTACGGTATTTGCAAGAGAATTATTCCTCCGAAATTAATATTCAAATCTAACGGTCACCCATCCAAGTCACGACTGCCCTCAACGCTGCTTAACTTCTGTGATCGGGAAACTGCAGATATTTTGTGATAATCCATGATTACTTAATGTTAATGAATACATATCCATGATAGATCAGATCAATTAAAAAGTTATAAAAAAATAAATATCTATTTTTTTATAAATGTTAACATACAAAATAATCGATAATCCAAATAACAATAAAATACAAATAATAAGTACAACATAATGTAAAACTGTATTAAATTAAGAAGTGATTAGGATCTAATACTAAATGTATGCAAACATTTTTTTTACGTTTTTTACATTTTTATAAAAAAATTATCCAAACAATAATTATATTATATTTCGTAGTTACGAAAGAAAAATTTAACAAGATTTTATCATAAAATAGTTATTAATTAATAAAATTTAAATAACTATTCAATGAATGTAAATTTCTGTTTAATACATACATATATATTTATTAAGTATCTCTGGTAATATTTTAATAACACGGATATGTCGATAATGTATGTACAAATGAGGATAGCATATGGACATACAAATTTGTCCTTTTGGGGATATCCCTATAATAGTGTCCACAAATATATATCCTATGGACAGCTTGTAAGGCTCATGGGACTGTCCACAGGACGTCCTGAGGCTGTCCCTAGG